ACACAGGGATTTCTCAGATGGCGTCTGAGATGTGTTCACAGTCATCCAACTGGCAAACAAAGAGCTGGGTGGTAAAGCACCCGTGAGAACACACTTACCACCGAAGTGTTTAAGCTGGACATAACAGGGCTGTGCACAGCCATGCACTTGTTGGCTGGCTGCTTGCAAGCTGACATCAGTAACAGCACTTCGTTGGGATCCGTAGCAACTTTGACATCAGACAGTCCTTTCGCCCAAGCAGATGAGCCCACCAACCACAAGAATGAGAAGACCACTGTGACAACGAAGTCCTATAGAAATAAACACAAAGACAAGAAAAGAAAGAAAGAAAATGTGATTTTTAGGAACAAACAACTTATACAAATGTCCCATGACCTCATAACACTGGAGCCAGGGCAAACATGTTAAAAAGCGAATAAAAGAAAGTTTAGCACTACTTTTATACACAAAGGAGCTTCAAAAAGTTAGCAAAAACAAATGGAATGAAAAGATAATGGGATTTTTCCCATGAGCTTTTTGAAGCCTCCTTTGTATTTCTATTAAATAAATAATAGTCATATTTATTGAGTGATTACTGTGTCCCGAGCTTGATGTTAAGTACTGTATGCTCACCATCTCTTTGTTCCTACACCATTCCTATAAGAAAGTTATATCATCACCTGATTTTCAGATGGCAAAGCTAAGACAGAAAATGGCTAATCAAGCCATAAGAGAAATGCAAATTAAAACAACTATGCTATACCAGCTAACATCCTCAAAGATAGCCAATTCAAAAAATCTGATAGTAACAAGTGTTGGAGGGGCTGTGGTGAGATAGGAACCCTTGTCCACTGCTGGTGGACCTGTAGGTATGTACAGCCATTATGGATATCGATTTAGTGATATCTAAAACAGATGGAAACCGAGCTACCATATGACCCAGCAACCCCCCTATTGGGCATATATCCAGAAGAGACAAGAAACAAACCACGACCAGACATCTGTGCTCCGATGTTCATTGTGATGCAGTTCACAGTCACAAAGAGTTGGAAACAACCCAAATTTTCAACAGAAAAATGGATCCAAAAACACTGTGGTACATACATACAATGGAGTACTATGCATCCCTAAAAAGCAGTGATGAATGCATGAAGTACATCACCACATGGGAAAAACAGGAGTAAATTATGCTAAGTGAAGTAAGCCAAGCACAAAAGGACAAGTACATGAGTCCACTGAGGTAAGCTTAAAAAAATGCATGTTCACTGTTACAGATAAGAGCTCAATACACAGGGAATCCAGGAGAGATAAACCCCTCAGAACCAGTAATGAGAATAGAGATACCAGGAGGGCAAGGGGAAGGGAAAAAGGGGAACCTATCACAATGATCTACATATAACCCCTTCTTAAG